GGGGCATCCATGCCCCTTCCTTTTCAAAGGTACCGTAGCAATACCCTATATAAAAATATTACTCCGTAGATTTTAAAATTATGTTTCAAAATAAAAATATTAGTTTTACAATATATTAAAATTATTTAAATTAAGTAGGGAGCATATATTTCTCATATACTATGGTCAAAGTTTACAAAAATAACTAAAAAAAAGTTACCTAAGGCCCCGCTTGGTACACGGAATTTAAACTATGGAATTGGAATTGAAGACTTCAATTCCAATTCCGGTATTTGGTAGCATAAAAATTATGTGGATTTGGAATTGATAATGCAAAAAATGAATTAGAATTGGTAAATCCAATTTCTATGGGATTGAATTCCATGTAATTTTAATTCAATTCCAATTCTATCAATTCCGTATACAAAACGGGCCCTATATGAAAAGCAGATGGAGAAAGTATTTGTTTTAGTGCGGGATGGAGGAAGAATAACTTGGACTACAAAACCATATAGAAATATTAAATCTTTCTAAGTTCAACACAAAATTTTATAAGTTGATTGAAGTATTTTTTTGGGGTAATTTACCTAAATAGGACTAAAACATAATGACTTTCTCAATATAAGACCATATGTTTTTATTTCTCAATGTAGGACCATTGGTCATGATCTATTAGTCATTATTCAAGTAAATTAAATGTCCAGTATCACTTGAACATTATTCTTCTCACTAGTCATTATTAAGTCATATTTAGGGAATAAAAAAGTTTAAATTCTACATTGGGAAATGACTTATGTTTTAGTCCTATTCAGTGCAAATTTCACTATTTTTTTCTTCAAACTTTGGAGGTAGGGATAATCTAACACTAATTTAACATTTTAACATAATAATACAACAAAAATTAATTAATGTTATACCAAATTAATACTCTCACAGCTCCGTCCTTAATTTGATTACAAATTAGGAAATACAAGGTAAAATTTCTCGTCTTTTGAAAATATTTTGTTTATAAATTAGTATATCAATAAGAGATAAAAATTATATATTATTGAAAAACTGCGTCAAAAGTCTACAAAACGAGAGCTGAAAGGAATATTTCATTTTATCAAATATTCAATGAAAATACATAAATAGACAAAAATTATCAAAAGGTGAGAGAAAAAGAATTGTAAATCTATTTCGGGACGAAGAGAGTAAACTAATTGGACTTTTTTTTTCTTCAAACATTGGAGGCCAGGTAGGAATATTGTAACACTAATCTATCATTTTAATATAATGATACAAAAAATAATTTAATTAATGTTACACCAAATATATATAGCACTAAAACATAATGACTTTCTCTAAATAGCACTACATATGTTTTTTTCTCAATGCAACACTTTTAGTCATTATCAATTACTCCCTCCGTCCTATAATGATCTTCCCGGTTCGCAAAACGAAGAAAAATCTCAAGTTTTTTCAATCTATTTTATTTAAATATTGGTATAGAAATAAAAAATAAAACATACATATTTAAAAACTACATCAAAAGTGCAACAAAATAAGTGGTGACAAGAATATTTTATTTTATCATATAGGCCATGAAAAAACACAAATAAATATAAATTCCTGTGAAGTTGGAATAGTGCTCTGGGGAGATCATTATAGGGCGGAGGGAGTAGTCATTATTCAAGTGAATGTTTGCCATCACTGGTCATTACGGACATTATAGAGTGCTATTTAGAAAAGAAAACAATCTAAGTGCTATTTAGAGAAATGACTTAAGTCTATTTAGTGCAAATATTTCTATTTATAATACTACATAAGAAGAGAAACAAATCAAAGAAAGGAAATGGAAAGAGATGCTAGCTTAGCTTAGCTATGGAGTTGTATGAAGTCCAGCCATGGAAACCTGCAAAGCTTCCTCTTCATAAGCCTTCCTAACCAACTCCTCCGCCATTCTCGCCCTGTTTTTCGCCTTCACCATAACCGCCACCACCAACAATCCCATGAGGAAAGCCCCTAAAGCCACCCCAAATGAGCCCCCAATCACCATCTTCCCTCTACTCACCACCTTCTTCTTCTCATCGCGATCATATTTACCCTTCCACGGCATCGTCGGCGCCTCCACCACGAGCCCGAAATGCCCCGTTCCCCCCGCCACGCAAACGCGGCGGCGGTCGTCCCGCGACGCCATTTCCGCCATCGTCACCTCCCCGTCTCTCCCGAAACTCGCACACAATGGTACGGTCCCGCGGGAGGGAGGACGACCGATCACTGCTGTGTCAATGAAATCAACAGTGATCGGTTCCTCGTGTCCCGTTCGAGTAATCTCGATTTCGAACGGGACACGAGGGTTATGATTATCACTAGTAGTACTGTTGTTGTCGTCGTCGTCGTCGTCGTCGCCCGCGTTGTACGCGAGCAACCCTAGAACGGGAGAAACGAGGGCATACCCCGACAACTCGTAGTCGTCGTAGTACACTTTCGACCAGTTCGGCCCGAGGTCTTGTCGGATTAACATCAGCCTTTTCGAGCAACGCTGGAATGCGGGTCCGGGCGGGACGCGGAATTCCGCAACGGTTGCGCCATACCTCCGCAAGCTACCGCACCGGAACCGGACCGCGTCGACCGTGATCCCGGTGAAGTTGGCGGGCGGGAGGCGGACCGGGTTGACTTTGCCGGTTTTGAAGGGCTTGTGGCGGTAGGATTGGAATGTGTAGTCCCTTATGAGCAAATCAAGAAGGTGGGAGGATTTTATGGATTGGGATTTTGTTGAAACAAGTGAAATAAGTAGTTGGAGAGTTAGTGAGAGGAAATGGGAGCTCATTTTTCCTACACTAATTGACATTTGGGGAAAAAGATGGTTTTGTAGTAAGTCATTGAAGGAAGTAAAGTGACTGGGGAAGGTGTATAAAGGAGAAAAAGAGCAAATCCAATGTTTCTATTTTCCCCCATCTAGAACTTTATCCCACTAGAATCCAGAAAGTTCTAAATAAAGTTTTTTTTATTAATTATTTAATAAAATAAAATATTTTTGTTACAATTTATTTTGTACAATTTTTGACGTAATTTTTAAATATCTAAATTTTTATTTTTTTTATTTGTAGTAATTCCCGATTAGTATAATACACTAAAAACAAATACAGAGTAATAATTAAACTAGATTATAATGCAATGTATTAATTAATTTTTTAAATTCTTTTAAAGGATTAAACCTTTTAAATTCAATTTATTATTTGAATAATTGCTTGTGATTAAATTTGTTATTTTTCAAATGTTTGGCATTGTTTGTATATACAAAATCCGGAGGCGGTGCCCCAGACCCCCTCACAATATAATGCTCCATAGTTTTAAGTTCCTGGATCGGGCATTGAGGAGAGAGCATTAAAAAGTAATTTAAAAATTAGTAGAGTGAAATTAATACGGAATATGTAAAATGGATTTACTACGGACACCTCACTCATTTGCGCATGAACCCCCAAAATGATGGCTAATATTAAAAGAAACTTTAAATTATTATCTCATTTTAGTGGAGGTCTAAAATATGCAATTAGTCTCAAATTGCCATTTGGGAATAATTCTTTTTTTTTGGATATATACAAGTCAAAATTTTGAGTCCTATACATATTGCGTTAATCTATTTTTAGATTAACTCCAAGGAAAGAGGTATATGAGAGGATAAATAGTAATAATTGTGATATATACCTTTTTTTGTCATGTTTGATATGTCAAGGTTAAAATTCTGGGATGAGAAGCCTAAACGACAGTGGAAATACATCGTTCAATGATAAAAACTTGACCGGTATACTTTGAGTAGTCTACCGGTCAAACTACTAGACTTCCCTCGTTCATCCCCAATCTCTATAAGCCCATTTCGTGTAAACCTAATCGGTAAGGTTTCTATACTTGGGAAGTGTCGGCTTGAAAGAATCCAAGGGAGGTTGGACTGTAGCAGCCAAATTCAACGAAGGATCGCTGAAGATATTCGAGCAATCCGTCAACACGCTACGTGATAAGGGAGTCACCTTCCTAGCTAGATGACAAGCCACTAAAATACAGAGACAATCACCTCGCGCCACCCAGGAAAGTGGTCTGACGTGGGTATGCGGTGCCTTGTTCCCTCTAGCTTCCTATAAATACTTATGTAACCCTTAAATGAAAGGATCCGATTTCTTCTCACTAAAACCCTTGTGTAAAAGCTCTCGTGCATTCAACCCTCAGTCCTCCCGATTAATTTGTGAGTTTTTTACATTTTACTGTCTTGAATCAAATAAGAATCCTAGACCCGATCTAGTACTGTTTACCCGGTTAAGTAATTTACACTATCAGTCCCTAAATGTTTGTCACATTTTAAAAAAACAAGGCAAAATATCTTTCCAATTCATTTTATTTAAATATTGGTATATAAATAAAAAATAAAATTTATATATTTAAAAACTATATGAAAAATTATTCTAAATAGAGGTGTTAACAATATTTTATTTTATCAAATAATTAATAAAAACGTACAAATAAATAAAAATTTCCATAACTATTGAAAAAAAAATATGACAACATTTTGAGACGTTGGGAGTAGTTGACTTCTAATTTTTTTCTTTGATGTGATGAGCAAAAGTGAAATATGATGAATAAATTATTAGAAAAAAACATGATGTGATAAGTAGGATAAGAAAAAATAGGGGTAAAAGTGGTTTTTTGATACAATGTTGAAATATTTTGGTAGAAAAAAAAAGAAAAAAGAAGTGTTTTGGAAAAAAAAATGTACTTAGAGCATCTCCAATCATCCTACTTTGGCTTGCTAAAAGTCATAATATAGCAAGTCTACCAATTTTTCTCTTTTCTCTAATGGGTGTGCTAAAATTTAGCAAGCTTGCCAAAAAAATGACTTTGGCTAGCCAAATATAACAAGCTTTCCAAATTATATGAAGCCAAGAATTGTAGAATGGATTAGCAAGTCACGATTAGAAGATGGAACAAAATATCACTTGCTATATCACTGTTCACTTGTTAAAGTATAAAAATAACAAGTCGATATACTCCGGGGTAGTAAATAGAGTTGGAGATGGTGTTAGATGGTTTAAATTTGTGTTTGGTATTTGATCTGTCTCACCAAGTAAAATGCTTCTATTGTGATAAACCGGGCCATAAGATATCTCAGTGCAGAAAGATGAAGCGAGATAAAGCCCTGCAGAAAGAGGAAAAGGGTCAGACTTCTGAGAAGAAAGAGGAAAAAGACACAGCAGCCCTTGCAGATGCGGATGATTTATTTTTCGTGTGTGATGACACTAACTTTGATGTTGTTTTTCAGGATTGTACTTGGATCATTGATTCAGGTGCCTCTTGTCATCTCACACCTCATCGGGAGTTCTTCTCATCTTACACTAGCGGTGACTTTGGCTATGTCAAGATGGGGAAGGGTGCTGACAAATCATCTAAGATTGTTGGGATGGGCACTGTTTGTTTGAAGACCAACACTGGTTGCAGGTTGACCCTCAGAGATGTCAGACATGTTCCAGAGTTTCGGTACAACCTCATTTCAGCTGGAGGACTTGACGAAGATGGCTATGTTAGCCGCCTTGGTGAAGGAAAGTGGAAGCTCACCAAAGGTTCTTTGATCGTGGCCCGAGGTAAGAAAGAGAACAGGCTTTACGTGATGCAAGCAAAGGTGTGTAGAGGAGATCAGAACACTGCGCCCTCCATGGAGACATCGCACAAGAGGCTTGGTCACATGCTTGAGAGTTTTCAGAATATCCTCCCTGAAGGTGATATTCCTTTTCTTACCATACATTCAGATTATGGGGGAGAAGATGGAGAAAAATGTTGTGGTGATGATGTTGCTCGTGATGGTGATGTACTTGAGCCACCTCATTCCGAGCATGGAGTTCCGCCACAGAGGGATCCTCAAATGGGTAAATTTGAGAGAGATTGCTATCGGGATGAAGTGAAGAAGGTGCACCAAAGTGAATGGTTTCAAGCCAAGCGAGATGGGGTTATATCCTTGCTTGAAGGACGTGGTCATTCCCTGGTAAAGTTGCATGGAAGCAAGCGAGCACTCAAGAGCCATCGGGTGTTCAAGTTGAAGAGAAGAGAGCGTTGCTCACAACCTACGGACTTGGCGCAGTTGGTTGTGAAAGGTTTGTTTGATAATTATCATCATTGAGTTTCACCCCCCATGTAGGAGTGATGGGAAGATTTGTTGGGGTATCCCTCCTACATGGAGGAAGGAGTTCCTAAACAATACATTTAGTGTTAAAATGTAATTTGTTTAGAGGTGGAGTATTATAATAATAGTAATAATAATAATAATAATTATAATATTTATTATTATTATTATAAGAAAAGAAAAAAAAAAGAGTCAAAGTGGGGCTGCCACTTTTTTGAAAGGCAATAGCCTTTTGTGGGCAGGCTGGTCACGAGCAGCCGAACAGAGCAGAAACAGAGAGGAGAAATAGAGAGAGCCGAGAGAAGGAAGAAGAGAGAAAAAGAGAGGTGCAGCCTGGTTTTGTGCTCCGATCGACGACCAAACGAGCTCCGATCGGGATGAAATTTTAGTATGTTGTTCCTGAGATCCTCTTCTTCATATCCAACGGTGGGATTGTTGTTTTGACCTCTCGATGTCGGTAAAATCGCCTCTGTTTACTGCTGCGTTTTTTATTGGGGATTTCTCACTCTTTAGTGAAGATTATTGTTGTTTGGTGTTCCAAGTTATTACTTGATGATTATGTGTACCTCTAATTGATTTAGAGAGGATTCTTGGTGTACCCACTGATTTTCTTGGTGATTAGTGGAAGGCTTCGTGGTTTTCTCCCCGATTTGGGGTTTCCACGTTAAATCTTGGTGTTCGTTTATCGCTTGATTGATTGCTTGTTGACGTGTTTCCTATTCATGATCGGTCATATGATTTTGCCCATTTTGACAACACAAAGACGGGAAAATTATTAATTGCTTCCGCTAGAAAATTGAGGTGATTTTCCCAACAGGAAGTCTAAGTGGGCGTCACCGGCGGTGGAAGGGAAGAAGTGAGAACGACCCGGCGCCGGCAAACTGGCGGAGAAAGCAGTCAAAGGTGTGCTTAGATTTAAATAACTCAATCTCTGTTCTTTATGATTCAATTCTCCATTTGCAGATTTCGATGATTAAATCAAAGCATCAGTCTCAACATAGAACAACAACAACAACAACTCAGGTGAATCCCACAACAGTAGGGTCTGGGGAGGGTGTGTGTACGCAGACCTTGCCCCTACTCGGAAGTAGGGAGGCTGTTTCCAAGAGATCCCCGGCTCCACCTGCACAAAAATATGGAAGGGAACACAGTATAACACAGATAAAGTACCAAGTACAAGCAACGCGTACAAGCAATAGCAGAAGATTCCTAACAAATACAAAACACCACAAAACAACCTCTACAACACCGAGCTCCTATCCAGCTACTCTAATCCTAGTTTTCCAAAGGTTCCTATCTAGGGCCATATCCTCAGTCAGGTCGAGAAGTCCTAAATCCTGCCTAATCACCTACTTCCAATTCTTCCTAGGTCTACCCCTTCCCCTACTTCCCCCGATAACTGTAATCCTCTCGCATCTCCGTACAGGGGCGTCAGCATCCCGCCGTCTCACATGGCCAAACCATCTCAACCTTGCTTCCCGCAACTTATCTTCCACCGGTGCCATGCCTACCTGACGTCGGATAACTTCGTTCGAAATCCTATCCAACCTTGTCTTCCCACACATCCATCGTAACATCCGCATCTCCGCCGCATGCAGACGACGCACATGAGTCTTCTTAACCGCCCAACACTCTGCCCCATATAACATAGCAGGTCTGACTACGGAACGATAGAACTTACCTTTCATTCTATGCGAAATCTTTGGATCACACAACACCCCTGAAGCTAACCGTCATTTGGCCCAAGCCACTCCAACACGATGTCCAACATCCGCATCTAACTCCCCATCAGCCTGGATTACCGAGCCAAGATATCGAAACCTGTCTACCTTAGGTACTAGATGGGAGTCAATCCTGACTTCCAACTCTGATTCTGTATCCCGGCCGCTGAAACGACATTCCATGTATTCAGTCTTGTTCCTACTTATTCTGAATCCTTTCGTCTCAAGGGCAAGGCGCCATAATTCCAACTTATGGCGTAAGCATCAGCCGTAAGCATATGCTAAACCTTTTGGGCGTAAACGACATTCCATGTATGCAGTAAGCATCGGTCTCAACATATTTAGGGTTATTGCCTGCATTCTTAGGGTTTGTTATACAGAAAATGCCCAAAAGGTTTAGCATTAGCTTTCAAATTTAGGGTTATTATATGATATATCACACAGGACCTCACGTGTATTCGAGCCGGGTCTCTTGGAAACAACTTATGTATTACCTAGTAGGATTAAGATCTGAGTACACACACTCTGCAAGACTCCACATTTTGTGAGATTTTGTCTGGCTCTCTTCTTCTTCTTCTTCTTGTATAGGACCCCATAAATGCTAGTTATGTGATGCGGAGTACTATATGCTAGCGAAAAATATCTCATCAATAGGCACCCTGCCATTCTTTTTTGCGCTTACGCGGACAAGGTCTCGTATAGTGTTTGTATGTTAACAACAAAAAGTAATGTTAGTATGAAAGTAATGTTGGTAACAATCGGCTACCAACGAATAATTTTCTACTTCACAATTCACATCAAGGTGTCTTCAAGAAATACAAGTAGTAAGGGTCAAAGGGTCATTCTAAGCATGGCCTTTGTAGACCTGGGAAGTCTCTACCACTGTGCTAGATGTGGCTGGAAATCAAAGACAAACAAGAAAAGGTTACTTTTTTCACCACCCGTGATCATTGGGTGGTGTTAGAGCATAAACTTTTCTTTGTCTCCAACCATTAACTTAAGCTTTATTTGAGTTAGTCCTTTGACATTGTATTGAAGCTTTGTTGATCTTTTCTAGTTTAGTTCTTAGCAGCCTACATATTGATTGCTGTGCAAGGTATGGAGGAGTCACAAGGCACTTGGTCGAGTGGTTCTTGACGTTATATAGTTATGGATCAGATAGAGGTCACAGAGCGGCGCCACTAGGAATTTGAGTCAATCACACTAAAAAAATCAATCCAATTGATTAGCTAGTTCAGTTCAAGATTTTATCAATGCATTATTCTCTCTTCAATATTCCGAAATGTGATTCTAACATCCCCCAAGTCCACAAATAGACTGTTTCCAATCTAACCGATTGACCACTTGCAAATGAATAGTTTTCCTGTGAAGCAAATTAAAAGATCAAAATGCAGCGGTAACACTTACAAGACCCGAAGCCGTCAGAACAGGAGTTTTAGTCAGGCAACTATGTGGAATTGGCCACATGTCGATAGGGTTAGACTTCTAAATGCCAATCTGTACAAATATGGCGGTCCAAAACCTTCTCTGGTACCATTGGGACGGTCAAACCACACTAAAAGATTGAATTGTATTAATTATTAGTTCAACTCAAAATCTTATTTACTCATTTTTCTTTAATTTTCCAATGCAGGATTGTATAATATAAATAACAAAAGCTTTTTCTTTTCTCTAAGCAGCTAGCTACACCCTACTCCATGGGATTTTGATGGGTTTGTTGTTGTTATATTACTTTGTAGAATAATAAATGTGTGCAAAATAAAACATTTTTTAGATTATGAAGACAATAAAGCTTGAATTTTTTAAATAGAGTTTTAGTCCAATCAAGCAAAATGATTAAACTCACACCAATATACAATATGCAAATCACATCTTATATCACACATTTTATTCATTGAAGTTCATAGTAATCCATGCTCCAAAGTGGAAAACAGTTCAATAATACAATTTGTACATTTATTTGTATGTTAATGCAATTCATGAATAAATTATTCCAGCATATGAGTTGGGTTGCTTCGTTGTGCTCCCCAAATAGCAAGCATAATTGCAAGAATTGCTCCAACCAGGAAAGGATATTCCTTAATGAGTATCATCGTCTTTGATTTGATAGCCTGAAATGTTCAATAGATCATTAAGGAATACTAAGCTAAACAATTCATTAAATGGAAAAAGAAATTTGAATAAATAAAATAGTCGAAAACTCTCAAGCTATATTCTGATACTAAGCAAAACAACAATCAGTGATAATCTTTAGATCAACATTTGAATGATAACACAATGCTCATTGAGATCCCATTTACTAAACACTCTGCGTTACTTCCCATATATAGCCAATGTCGTACCTCTATAGCGTGATTGAGTTTTTTTCCTACTTCAACGATGCCCTCTTTCATCAACTCAGTACACTTAATATGTGTTACCAATGTTTTGGAAGAAGGGTGATCCTGCATCAATGGCATCCCGGAGAAACGATATAATGTACAAAATTTTATGGCGATCAATCAATGTGTGTTTTTAGTTGCATGAAAAAAATTGAAGAATAGGTCGTGTAAAGTAAAACCTGTGTGTTTGTTGTTTCTGGATGTTCCGGAATCAACCGATCCACCATACTCTTAGCTCTAGCTTTTGAAGCTTGGGCCAGCTTTTAAGTAATAAAAGTATAAAAAATGTCATTAGGAATACCGAGATGGGGATGAATGACTTATTAGTTACTCCCTCCATTCCATATTAAGTGTTTAATAAGACATTCTTGATACATTGAAAAAAGGATGAATGTAGACAGAGAGTGTGTCTACATTCATTCATTTTTAATGTATCAAAAATGTCTTATTAGACAGTTAATATGGAATGGAGGGAGTATGTAATTTGTAGAACGGCGAGCCTAAGAAGCTAGAGATGAAAAATGAAGAAATGGAAGGTTTAGAAATTAGAAGTTTTTAAGTTATTACACATATAAATTATAGTACTTTGTAGCATATCATGGCTTCTCAAAGTGACAATGTGGTACCTCTGACGCCCACTTTATAGTTTTTTCAACTTCAGCTTCAATCTCTTCACTCGACTCAAGACACTTAATAGGTTTTATCAAAGTATTAGATGGTCGGACCTGCATTAACAAGCATTAACATCCATTTAAGTAATGGGCAAAATATTTAAGGCAGTCAATACAAATAATACACGCACACATTCTCTCCCTGGCTCGTCTGTTCTTAGAACTTCAGTATATGGGTACTATAGTCATATGTACTCCATCCTATTTATGGGTGCACGATAAGGTAATATCATAAATGTAAGTCATTTTATATCAATTTGTTTTTCTCAATAGGAGAATATTATGAAAGTTCTGATTATTCTAAATGATGCTCGTGTTAACTACTCTGTATTAAATTGTTTTCTTGGTTCGTTTGAAAGCCAAAATTGTGAATAAAAAGACTTAGAGCCTTTCGGAGGAAGTCGTATTTGTTTTTACCTAAACGTTAGAAAAATGTATTATTCCCGGCACCCCAAGATAAAGTTCCCAAATCCTATTAGGGGGAGAATTATATGGTTCATATTATTTCTCTCCTTGCATAAAGTAAATGTGTACTTAAATTTTCTTAAACTTTGTGAAAAAGTAAATGTGTACTTAAATATGGAACATAGGGAATACTTTATATATGGTGTGTGTGCTTATGTAAGACCCAAGTTATCACCTTTTCCCATTCTTGAGAACGCACATCGTTTCTATTCAGATATGCAAATTGCAGTGTCTTGAAAAAATCATAATCTTCATCAGCTTCTTCCCAGCAGACTACTGCCAAAAAAGCAAGCAACTGGATGCACTGCAGAATAATTACAAAACCACATTATAGTAATTATCACATACACACATATGTAGCTATATATGATTGCCCAATATTTGGCAGATTGATGGATTGAGTTTGGGATCCATACAGGGGACAAAGCAGCTTGTTGAAGATCAGGAATTTCTTCGGGATTATTCCAACTGCGTGGTGACAAATCATCATCGTACATGAAGTGTTTGATATATCTGCATGTTTTTCATTACTGTTAGAGCATATATAAAACCTTTCGTGGGGCCTCCAACAACCACAAAAGTTGAAATTTTGGTTGAGTTGATTCCTTAACAATCAAATAATCATCACTCAAATTACTCCCTCCGTCCCAAAAAACCTTTACCCAATTTCTCAATTTATTTTCTTTTTTAGTAATGAATATGTGGCTGTCAAGATTTCTCTCATCTAAACAAATTCTAGCTATACACTTTTCACTTTTCTTAAACTTAGTGAAAGCCAAATTGAGGGCGTTATGTGTGTGTGTGTGTATCCAAAATTTGTACAAAACCTTCTAATAAGAGGAAAATGCATTTATGCATGCAACTTACCTGTTGATCAAATGGTTCTTGGCCTTCCAAGATTCTTCTCTAACCTTTGCTATCACATTATTTTTTATATCTTCTCTTAGTTTATCTGATGTTTTTTTCCTATCTTCTTCGTTAACGCCTAACTTTTCTAACAAGGCGTCAAGCTGTGAGAAAATAGGCTTTGCCACCTTCTTGAAATGCTCTCTTATTTTTGACCAACTTGGATCCCTTTCTTCAGACACCAGATAAAGCACATAGCTTGAAAACACTTGCTTCAGTGTTGACTATATAAAGAAAAAAGAAAGAACGTTAGGAAAATAAACTACTACAAGAAGCCACTAAAGTCTCCGGAGTAAGTCTGCCCATGCCTTACCTCTACCTATATTGTAAAGGCGTTAGAGAGAATGTTTTTGAAAGATTTGTCCCCAGATAACATTAAACTAAAACCATATATAGCGTGAAAGGAATATATCAATATGCATACCTTGAAGCTTTTGACTATTAATTGTGGCCTGTCTTCTTTTTTAGCAAAAGCATAATCTTCCATCTGGCGTATAAGCTTTGCTCTTGCTTTTGATGAATCCCACTTTGCGTTTTCAGCTCGGAGAGCTGCAAGGTAGTGAATCCCAGGTGACATATATATCATTAACCACTTGTTTTCACCTTTTTTTCTTTTGTATGACTTTCTTTTTACTATTGTCCAACACTTATTAAGAGGTTTATTCATTCATATCTAGTCGACATGTAGCTTGGACAAACCTGCAATGCCTCCATCAAAATCGTTTAAACGGATTTGGATCTCATCTTCAACTATGACAGGTCTGTTCTTTTCGCTTTTTCCCTCAGTATCCTCAGCGTTGTTATATCTTTCAATTGCTTCCGTAAATTTCAAGAAACTAACCTGCCTTAGATGCACCTCCATTTGTGCATGAATATGTTCAACAAGCTAACAAACATAGAGAAATAGGTCATAATTTGACCACATAGAAATTCAAAGTGAATAACAAATGTTTCTAATTATGTTATCGCTGAGCTATAATTTTAATATACATGTGTATATTTGTATGTGAGCGGTCCATAGCGCGAATAAGTACCTGTAAAGATTCATGGATAAGTTGTTCTCGCTTTTCCTTTACTACGGCTTCATCAAACAAAAAGGATTCCTCATCATACCTAAGATTGGGAGAAGGAAAGTAATAAATAACTAGCTAAACAAATATGCCCCGAATCTCATTCAAGTTGGCATGGAAGAATTACTCGTTTTAAGATTATCTTAAACAATTTGTTTGTTTGAACTTGTGCTAGATCTACATTTTGATATTTCTCTACGCACAATAGTTTTTTTGACACTGGTTTTGAGTGTTATATTATGACACCAGGGCCCTATGGTGCTCTATTGGACTCTGAAGTGGGTCTTATCCCCTAACCCCCCAAACTGCCCCCTCCCCACTCCAGACCCCTAGCATTGTAGCATATCAGCAATTCCAAGAGGGTTAGGGGGGTAGGACCCACTTTGATGTCTCGCATGACCTGGTGCGATATCATGACACCCAGGGTCTGTGTCAAAAGAAACTTGCTTTTGTTTACAAAATGGTTGATAACGAGAAAATGAGAAATATACTAACTTTGACACATAAGTGTCGAGAATTGAACCCACTTTTCCCCCAAAATCTGCAACAAATTGTAGGTACGCTTGCTTGCGCAACTCGTGTAACTCCTATGAAAAGGACATGAAAACACTTCAACAGATCAATCTTTATAATCAAATAAAAATGGATCCTTATAACTTTAATACCTTACTCATTTGGAACGATTTATACAGTTCATTTTTTATCTCTTCACAACGAACAACTGAAATCATGATCTGGGACAAATAAAAAAAAGTGTTTGTCAAACCAAGAATATGATAGAATTAAGGGTTGGGTTTGGGTCATTAAGTAAGCCACATGATCAAGTACTTGGTAATGACATTATAAGATATTCTCTCTGCCTCCTTGGGTTCTTGACATGTTTTTGATGTTGCATTGAAGTTATTTTAATATTATTCTTATTTAGGTGTTGGTGTAAATTTTTTAAAAAAATAATATTTTGTATATTTTAAAAAAAACATTTAAGTTCTACAACACTAGAAGTGACTTGACTATTTTATTTTAACAAATGGTAGATGAAAATATCAAATATGTAAAGAAAGAAGATTTAGTTTGACCTACGAAGAGTAACAGTAAAAAAATTCAGCCACGCATAGATAGTAAAATCTAATCGATTAACTCAATATCTTATTAACACTACATCATTGGAACATTGATGTCCACACACTCGCCACCCCCACACCACACACACACACACAAACCTCTTGTTTAGGAATATCAAGATCCTTATTTCCCAAGATGTCTTTCCAGACATTTTGTGCATGAAAAGGAAACATTGAAGCCCGCGGTTTGGTTAGGTCTATATATGCTGAAGTGATGAATCTTGTCTTTAACTCTTCAACCTGCACAAACATGAGGGAGTATTAAGTCATCTCACATTAATTAAACACACCAAACACGGACCAAACATATGGAATCAGATTGGAGTATTCATGGATATATCTGTGACAACCAATGTTCGTTTTTTAAACGAACTGGATTACTCACGGGTATATCTACAACAAAGTTCAAGTTAACCGTTCAAGTGCCCTTACAAAGCCATGAACCGAATCCATTACAATTGTTTTGTCAAGCGATGTTAGACAATAGGCACATTCTTTCTCGTGACAAAAATTCTGAAGATGTGGATTTTTTAAACTACATTTCGCGGCAAAAGTCATGATGAAATGCCCTTTTGTGGTGATGACTTCGACTTAGTCCTCTATTTAGTACTTCTATTGTTCCACTGTTTTTGAGACACGGTGGAGCGGCACGAAAATTAAGAAAAGTAAGATTGTGTGATTGATATTGAGGTAACCTGTGTTTTGAAATCTGCTTTCCTTTCTTCATAATTTGGAAGAAATATAACTTCAACCTGTTAAATAAGAAAAAGCAAATTTTGTAGTCTATATACATGGTTATATTGTTTAAAATAAAATAAAAAAAAAGAGTGCATAAAATTACTTGAAAATAATCATGAAGATTGAAATAGCCATTTTGAGATTTATCAGCACAGTACAACCATATCTATAAAAATCACAAAAAGAAAAGGGAAATTAGTTTGAGAAGACAACATTAGATGGTACAAATTAAAAACGAAAACAAACATGAGAAAATAAATAGTACAATAATACATGTAACTAATGCATTTTACCTCATTGACATCATCTCTTAGTTTAGCTTCTAAGCTAGATTGATGTAACTGCGGGATCATAACAAAATAAAATACATGTTAATAATGCAAATTATACTCCGTATTATATAATGCAATCTTATGTGTATGACATTTCACGGAGTTTAAAAAAAGTGTTGAAAAATGAAAAGCGAAACAAGTGTGATTGTAATTTGTTAAGAAGAAAGAATTTTTTTAAGCTATATGTTATTTTCCTTAAAAGGAAATAACATGTTTTTTTGGGGCCGATGTAATAAGAAAGAGAATATTTTTTGCGAGACCGAGGAAGTATATGTAGCTAAGGTAAAACTTAGTTGTTGAATTGGGGTTAGAGGTACCTGTGTTGCGTTAAGATAGTCGCGTATCACAAACATCAATGTGACTTTCCTTTGTTCATTTCCGAATTTCTTCAGAACCTAAACCATAACGATGCAAACACACATTGATTAGTCTGTTTTTTCACACTCAATTGACGCACAAAGCTCATCAACATGCGTTCTCAAGATGCAATGATCGCCCGACAAAGGGTGCTCTTCACTGAGTACCTATATCATACATTCGAATGTACCATTTTTTATGTACATCTGCCAGATGCATATTTATAAGTTAAAGAATATTCATTTTGCACACTTTTTTGTTTGCATATATTTTATATAGATCATGCACATTTAATGATTGTACATTGCTCTTTTTTGATGTATGTTGCAGTTTGCCTCCTCAACATTAGACGGTGTGTTAAAAAAACGTGACATACCTGTTGAAACACGATTCTCAAAAGAGGCTTATTAGCAGCGTGCTCGCGGCCGATGTCGTGACACCACCTGATTAAGTCAGAAAATGGGGATGTAAAATGTGAGCGAAACACGATTATCGGGTAGAAATTGAATATTGTCATGAGGTATATATATGGAGCCCGGATCATTGAACACCAAGGGACAGTGGCATAATATGACACTAGTTCATTAGGGCATATATGATGCTTCGTTCGATCCTGACGTTATTACTACCTTCTTAACTCCCCGCCATAACCCTTTCTCTCTAGCCCTTACTTCTTTCAATTTGGGTGACAATCTACTGTCGAATACTCCATTCGTCTCATTTTAAGTTTGTTGTCGTTTCTGATGTTTGATTAAGTTACTTTCAAATTAGTTTTAAAAAATTGGAGTGGAGTTATGAAATACTCCTAATATTTATAGATACTCCAAAATAAAAATAAAAGATGGCATGCCTATATTGTTCTATTAAATGAATAGAAAAAATGGTTAAAGAAAGTGATTAAAATTTGATTATGTGAATAGTAAACATGAACCTTAAAATGAGATGTAAGAATAGTTATACTACCAAATGGGATGAATGTTATACTTTCTCCGTCCCAAAATGTTTTACATCTTTGCACAAAACAAAATGAATTATTCATTTTTTTTAAATATGTAAGCTTTACTTTTAATCTCTATATCAATCTGTAAATAAAATTAATTTAAAGAAGTATTATGTCAAAATTCTTTCTTTAGAATTGAGAGTAGCCTTACATGTTAATTAGAACAAAATGGGCCACCGAAAAAGCAAAAAGAGCGCTCCTCTTTTCAAATGAAATGTCATCCTGCAACACAAAACAAATCCAAAGTATATGTGACCTAACGAGTGATTGGGATTCACATTTTTTGTCTTTTAACATCAGCTGAAAATAAAAGCACTTTGAGGGTGTTTGGGAGTGTGTTTAGAAAGAACTTTTTGAGCTTCGACTTTATTGAAACACAATTTTAAGTGTTCTCTAATAAAGCTTTAGATTATGGATTGTGGTTTTGGAAATGTAAAAGGGTGTTTGGCAGTGCGCTGTTTTTAAGAATTCAGGTTCCGCTTTGAGCGGAATTGGTTTTATTCTATTTGACATGTCAGTTTCTGTTTTTTCCACCACTGTTTTGTACATAGAACTTTGTTTCGGAGAAGCAGTTATGAGGTGTTTTTGCTTTCAGCTTTTGTAGAAATCACTTTATCCACAAGTTAATCACTCCCAAACACTCTCTAAATTATGCTCTAGAAGTGATTTTCACCAAAGGCTCGTAGTAACTTCATTCTACTTCTCGTTTAGCACATCTGCTTTTTCAAGACTCACCGCACTTATAAACACCCTCTATGTCTTTGAAATAAAAATATTTTGTTTTTTCATGGAGTTTCAAAAAAAATAAATAGAGAGGAAATAATGTAACCTATTTATTTATTTCTTTAAGTAGAATGAAAATTTCTTTTTGGAATAAAAAGGAAAATTTCTTTTTGAAATAAACCAACCGATCTTTCACTGCTATCTGAGCCTTCCAAATCCATCACAAGTGTGAGTGGTTCTATGTGGGAACATTTTGTCATCCAAATCCCTTGATCTTCTTGAGACCTACAAAAAAATTCCAAGTCTAATGCTTATTTGATTCATCATTGGAAATAGTAAACTGGACGGGTCAAAGTGTGTTTTTCTAGTTTGACTTTTTCGAATAAAATTCACCAAATTTTGGGTTTCGATTAAATGAAAATTACAATGTATATTAGTATAAAATTGATTTTATAAGACTTATATATTTTGTTGTGAACTTTCAAAATTGGATTTTATTGTATTCACATGTAATGCAGAGAATAAAATTGCCAGCATTTTTAAAAATTTGACTACCTTTGGTTTAAGGCGATTTACTTCTAAGATCAAAATTGTAATTTAACCTTCACTTTGTTTTTTTAAAAGTAAAGTAAGCAACAAAGTTTGACCATAGTTAATTAGTTCATTATAAGATTCATCGAATGATAATTAAAAAAATCATAAGATTTGTTTCATAAAAACTTTCATAAACTCATTTCATTATATTCCGGGTACCTTTTTTTTACAAATTTATTACCCCGTAATTATGTTACATAAGAACAATCAATCAAACATTGAATAGAAGAAGTGTGGATTATGGAACATGCACATGTCACACTAATTTTTCATTTGTTTTCTAGATTTACACAGATAATTTATTGTTTGAATTTTATAGACAATCATTGTTTATGAAATAAAGGAGACGTTCCCATGACATTAGTCCCCCATGTCATCTTATGACATGGGCTTCGTTTGGAATTCTTACGGTACTTTATTTGAAAAATTGATGATTCTTACCCCCTCTCATCCCGGCTTGACCCGAATCCACCCCCGTCAATTGCACTCCACGAGATTTAGTTGACTTTGGAGTCAAAATTTGACTCCAAAGTCAACTAAATCTCGTGGAGTGTAATTGACGGGGGTGGATTCAGGTCAAGCCGGGTTGGAGGATTTTAGGAATCATTAATCTTTCAAACGGAGACGGAGCATCGTAGGGATCCCAAGTCATCCCATAAAATTGATTCCTAATGTTATGGTACATATAATTTAATGAGAAATTTACCTAAATAGCGCTAAAACGTAATGACTTTTCCAATATAGGATTATATGTTTTTATTTCCCAATGTAGGACTTGTGGTCATTATCAAGTAGTCATTATTCAAATAAATGTCTAGCATTACTGGACATTATTCCTTCCACTAGGTCATTATTAAGTTCTATTTAGGAAATAAAAAAGTTTAAGTCCTACATTAGGAAAATCATTATGTTTTAGTCCTATTTAGTGCAAATTTCACTAATTAAATATCAAATTTTGGTATGCCTATACATTTATCAAACAATTATAGAGTTTGCATTTGAGAAACACACCTTTTTTGAGAAGCATCCATGGTCTTGAATTGTGTACCAAACAAATGATTGAGTAATGTGCTTTTCCCTGTTTAATAAATCTCTAGTTAATTATATAGCTCAATCCTAAAAAGTCAAAAATGCCCCTCAAGTAGACCAATCATATCAAAACAATTTACTAAACTACTCTATCAAATAAATCAAATTGAACATGACTAAGAAAACATAAACTGAAATAATTTTTTGAACTTATGTAGTTCTTTCGAACCGTAGATTCGAAATATCTTCGTTTATAATCCATATTTATATATAAATATAGACATTTGTGGTCAAAATGTTTCATTTGAGATCGTAAAAGGTCAGATGAAAGAAAGATACGAGACGGAGGGAGTAGTACGTACCACTACCCTTTGGACCAAGTATTGCAACAACCACATATGAACGGCCACATTCATGAAACTCTAAATCATCTTCAAGCTTTTCCAATGCATCTTCATTGAACTCTCCCTTGGCATCAATTAGTTGGAATTTATGGTCTTCACCATTATTGGCTACACATATGAGTGAAAAATATTTAATTATAAATGCTAATAACAATTAAGAAGGAAAAATAGAAGAAGTAATTTTACAACATATAATGAGTAAATTTGAGGCCTACCCATTCTTTATTAGGAAATGAGGTTGTGTGTATGGTCTTGGAAGAGATGAGAATGAAAGCAAATTGAATTGATATGCGGATGAATGAGAAAAAAATAGATTATTAGTGTGCATATACATACACACATATATATAAATGAGTCCATAGGGAGTTATTCTTCATTTTTTTATAATAAGATTTAAACAATTTACTCACTCTCGAGTTGGTAAAACAGATTTTTCTTTTACGTTATTGTGTAAAGGTGATTATTCGTTACTCTGAAACAAAGTTACTCTCGATGTCCTAAAATAAGGTTCTCATTTCGGTTTACAGTGTTTAAGTAGAGTATTTTTAATTCAACATATTTGAATATTAGGGTAGAGTTAAAAAATAAAAAAATACTATGTGCATATTTAAATGCTAATTCAAAAACTTTGTGATATAAATAATGACTTGACTAGTTTAATTTATCAAACAATCAATGAAAATACGTACTCCCTCCGTTCCTTTAAACCCTTCCACTTTTGACTTTTGGCAAAAATAAGGAAAGTGTAATTTTGGTTGACTTTCCAATTTTGTCCCTGATGTGATGAGTAAAAGTAAGATGTGATAGCTTAGTTATTAGAGAAAAAGTATGATGTGATAGGTAGGGTATGAAAAAATAAGGGTAAAAATGGTTTTTTAATAGAAAGTGGAAGTGTTTTAGGGAATTCAAAAAAAAGGAAAGGAGAAGGGTTTTGTGGAACGGAGGGGTATAAAAAAAGGATATAATTTTACCATATGAAAAATGAATGATAATATTATTTTGGGATAAAGAGTATACTAATTATTCCTTGCTTATTAAGAGACCCAAAGTTCAGGTCAATAGTCTTGTAGTAAAATTTGTTTGAATTTTTATGAGGGATTATTCAAACACACGTTTCCTCAAAATGAAGCCAAGCATTTCTTTGAAATTATCTTTCCGGAATTTCTTGTGTAGAGTAACAAAATAACACTTTTTGAAAGGTAACATAATATTACTAAATTGAGTAATTTATAATGTTTATAGAGATATTTTAAACTTTGGGCCCCTGAAAAAATGGGCCTAGGCCGAACGGGCTACTTGTCCTTGATCTGGGCCGGACCTTTATTTGAAACTTTAATAATGTTCCGTTGGACTCCACAGTGGTTTCTATCTCCTATAATTCATCCTAAAACCTTCACCCTAACTAACTTGTCCACTACACCCCACCCTAGCTCTCCTAGACTCTCCCTCCTCATCCCCGGACTCGTTCTTGGGTGACGGTAATACATTGTCAAAATAAAGAAATCACCCTACGTAGCACTCTAACTCATCTAATACTATGCATTTAGCACTGCTTATTGTTTTTTTTACCAAATTAGCTATTTATGTTGTCAATCTCTTCCAATCATACCCTTTATGTTGCCAATCCCTTTTATCTATCCTACTATCAATTGTTTCAATTCATCTTTCAACTCCTATATCAAATTCGGACTCACATAATGTATACTTTGTGCATAGTGGCATAGTACTCTTTTTATCAATTTCTTTCGTCAATCAATTCAATGTAGTTTTGAATAAATATATATAATAAAAATACGATATATCAAAATTATATCATAAAAATATGCCAATTATAAATACTTCCTTCATCCCAAAATATGGCTCTTATTCGATTTACGATGTTTGATTGAAGTTATTTTCAAATCAATATAAGTAAAAATTATTGTATAATTAAAAAATAGGAATTATATATTAAAAAAACTACATAAAAATTTTTATAAACAAGTGGTGACAATGTGACTTACATAAAAAACTACCAATATTATAAATTATTATTTGACTTTCATATTGTGCAAACAGCTTGTAGTTTATTTTATGACAATAGGGTTTTACCATGAAAGAGATTGTTATAAAATGTGTTACTCAATATGGTGACTATAAATATATGGCCAGTACAGATTGATCATGTTATGCAAACAATTTTTGGCAGTGAATTTGTCTTCTATATATAATGTGGCAGACAAGAGTGAAAATATGACAGTGTATAAAAGTTAGCGACCTAAACAAATTTGTATGTACTTCATTAACTTCCATTAATAATATGGCAGTGAAATTAGACATACATATAAAACTGCCAATGTTATGAATTATGAATTGAATTTCATATTGTGCAAAAGCCATGTGCTTCGTTCTATGACTATTGGGTTTGAACATTCAAGAGTTCGTTACGGAAACGTGTCACTGAATAATCAAATTCTAGCTACACTTTTTGGAAATGTCCTATGACCATGTTTGCCTAGTGTGTTTTGGTCGAATGGGATTTATATCTAAAAATCCCAATGTAATAAATTATTCATTAAGTTCCATTGGAAGCGGACACAAAAAAATCACCAAAATGACTACTGCTTGAATAACTTTAATAAACAAAGTATGAAGTGTAAGCTCAAAGATTTTTGACAGTGTGGAATGCTTGTGATCTAGGTATACTTTTTGGCAGTGTGTTATGTCCTATGTTTTGGCCAGTGTGCTATGTTGCACAATTTTACATAATGTTGCAGTGCATGATGCTTACAAAGTCTTAAAATTTACAACATAATACCTTCATCATCCATTTCTTTTTAGTACCACATAAATGAAATTCAGCATATGTCTAATACTAACATCTTCTAACATTATACAAAATCAAGAAAGACCAAAAAAAGCCAAGCCCATGTTTGGCCAGTGTGTTTTGGTGTAATAAATTATTCATGAAATCAGTCATACATTTTTGGGCAATGTAGAATTCATAAATGAAAACAATCATATACATTTTTGGCAGTGTGAAATTCATACATGAAAATAGTGTGGAATTCATACATAAAAAGAGCTATACACTTTTTGGGCAGTGTGGAATTCATACATGAAAATAGTCATACATTTCTTGACAGTGTAGAATGAATACATGAAATCACTGCCACATAAATCAATGGACATTACACTACAACATGAAATTAAGGAACACAATAATACATTTACACACTACCGTAAGATATAACAACATATATCCATTCTACACTGCCACATTAAAAACTCACATATAAAAAACCACACTGCCCACTACACAATTACGAGTGAACAACCACACTGCCCAAAATAATCATATTTTTTGCAGTAAATAATGAACATTTGCTGTTTAATTAAAGGACAAAATCGGAATTACAGGTACGAAACATATAGCACTACTATTTAGAATATTTTAATTCTCTTACAGTGCTATTTTGATTTTTCCCCCGTCAAAATATTAAAAGTGGATTGTCATTGAGAGGAGGGAGGTTCTAAGAGAGGGAGATTTTGAAGATGAGTTAGGAGGTGGAAACCACTTGGCACTCAAACAAAGTATTGTAATGGCTCAAATTAACTTATGCTTCATTTGGTACATGAAATTGAAATTGTAATTGAAATTCTATGAAATTGAATTATATGAGATTAAATTTTAATTCGTTTCTAAATCTTTTGTCTGGGTATAATTGAGGAATTAATATAGAATTGTATTATAATTCTAATCTTTTGTTTGATAAAACAAAATTATATATAGAATTGATATGAAATTATATTATAATTCCAAATTCTCATCCACATATTTTTGGGAAATAATATATAGACTCCAATTTTTGATATTGACACCTTAAATTTCACTATTTACTCTCTCACATGAATAATGTATTTTGGAGTGCCATTAGCAAAAAATAGTGTAAATATCATTTTTCCATATTTTTTTTGCTACCAAACCCACATACTTTTGGAATTGATATGGAAATTTGGAATTCGAATTTAATTCTAAATCCACGTACTTTTGTACTACCAAACAACAGAACTGAAATTGAAGTCTTCAATTCTAACTTCATTGTCTGAATTACATGTATCAAACGGAGTCTAATTGACATAATAATCCGTATAAGATTGAATTTCATATAAGAATTATAGATCTTTTGATATGAACAATTAATCATTTTCTGAATATATTTTTAAATTTTTATTTTTAAAAATTTTTAATTTTCTAAATTTTTAAATTAAATTAAATTAAATTTTTCTTAAAATTTGATCTTGTTATATGTTTGTGTTTTTTATTTTGTTTGTTTTTTCTTTTAAAATATGCTCATGATGTTATGGGGAATGTTCATTTAGTTTTTAAAATATGTTAATGTCCAGATGTTGGATGTATGATATTCAAATTTTCATGACCTAGTAACATCGGGTTCGGGTCGATCCAACGGGTTATGAGGTTTGATTTTTGAAATTTTTAAATTGATATTAACACTAGCATTTCGCATTAAATAAAATTATAATCTCAAAAAATATGTACTAAATCTATTATATTATTTTATTTTAAATTTTGAAATAATTTTTAGGTATACGTATCAATATAAAGAATTAAATAAATGCATAATTTTTTGAAAAAAATAAGATAATTATGCAATATCATTAAAAAAAAATTTGAACCTGTAAATTTATACACTAAAATCGAGTAGTAAGAAAAATATATAATTATAACCTTATTTTTATAACATTATATTTTATAGTAAGTATATGGTTTTTTAAAACTCTTACATTTGCGGGTCGGTCATGTCGAATTCGGATTCGATCAGGTTTGACCCATATTTAGTGGGTCATTTTTGGGTTCGGTCAACTTCGAGTTCGGCCAACAAAACCTTTGTTCAAAACCCATTGTTTTCGGGTCGGGTTTTGAGTAAAAATCGAGTTTAGTCATTTTTTGTCAGGTCTAGTAGTACCATATGTTTTAATTTTTCCAATCTAGTACAATTGTTCAATATCCAAAGGACATTGTTCAAATAAATATCCACCGCCATTGAACATTGTTCAAAGTAAATGTTTACTGCCACTGGACATTGTTTCCGCCACTAGACATTGTATGTACAAATATTATTTAGGGAATAAAAAGTTTTATATACTACATTGGGAAAAAACATGTTTTAATACTATTCAGTGCAAATTTCACAGCTCAAAATAACTCTAGATTCAACGATTATATATTTTAAGATAATCAAATAATCTAATTGTGCTAAAAAATCTAATTGTCATTAGGTAAAAATCTGTTCTAAAACGTACCAAGCCAAACAACAACTAATACATGTCAACTAATACATCCATCAAAATTGCAATTTGATGACCACATTACAACTTCATTATAGGTTGAAATGCATCCAAAACACAGCTAAAAAATGTGTAATGAACCAATTTTATGTTATTATTTCTTATTCAATACCACCAATTTCTGCCTGCAACGCTTTGTTATTTGAGAAGAAGGAATCTATGTTGTTGGCAACCAACTCTTGAAGTGCAAACATGGCATCATGGGTTGCATATGAGACATGGGAAGACAAGACAACATTGTCCAATCCAACTAGCTCCCTAGGCACATTTGGTTCATTCTCAAAGACATCAAGACCCGCGCCTCCAAGCTCGCCCCTCGCCAACAAATCCACCATTTCCTTTTCGTCGATCAGAGCCCCTCGCCCGATGTTTATGATGATCCCGCCCTTTCCCAGTGCCAACATGACCTTCTTGTCCACAATGTGGTTGGTTTCTTGCGTTAGCGCGCAACAGAGGACCAAGGCATCGCACGCGGTGGCAAGATCGGTTATATTTGGATGGAAGGAAAAGGGGATATGTGGTTTGACCTTCTTTGAGGTGTAGGCAATGGTGCAACCAAGGGCCTCAAGTCTTTTGCTAACCCTTAAGCCAATGCTCCCCAAACCCACAATTCCCACTCGCTTACCTCCAACCTGTATGTCATATAATAATCAAAACTTTATTGGAGGGTAGTGTGCTTGATATATTTAAAAAAGAAATATTTGCACTAAATAACACTAAAACTTAAGTCATTTTCTTAAATAGCACTTAAATTGTTTTATTCCCTAAATAGCACTTAATAATGTCCATAATGACCGGTGATGGCGAACATTTACTTGAATAATGACTAATGGATAATGACTAAAAGTGCTACATTGAGGAAAAAATACATGCATTGCTATTTAGAGAAAGTCATTATGTTTTAGTGTTATTTACGTAAATTCATATTTAAACAAACTCAATTGTTATATATAGCAAACACACTTTCTATTTTTAGAAAACCAATGTGAGTATAATACTGCCCCATTTTTTTAAAACCAATGTGAGTATAATACTGCCCCATTTACATCAGTTTCATAAGAAGTCGATGCAAATAGGGCAGTCGAATTTAGTAATAACTGATACAAAAACCTTTATTATAGATCTAAACGAATTAGCTTTTCTTCCTCTCTCTAGTTCTCCTCCGCCATTGGTCGTTCTCCTCCGATGTTCGTCGTCGTCGTACTCAAGCTTTCCTCCTCCAGTCTTCGTCGTCGTTCGTCTCCCTATCGTCCCTCTTTCTTGTGCCGTCGCCTTTCTCCGCGTCGTCTCCTCCGGCATCCCTTTACCAGTGATGTCGCGTTTCTCCTCCGTCGTCGTCGCCCCTTTTCTGACGTCGTTCTCTCCTCCAGTCGCCGCCGCCCCTTCTCCATCATCGTCACCCCTTCCTTTTCGCTGCAGCGCCGCTGCCTCCCACCACGCTGCCACCTTTTTTGTGTGTGCCGCCTCCCGCCGTCGCCGATACATATCCAACTACCGCCTCATCCACGCCACTAGCCACGTATCTTACTTTCTCAAGGTAATTTCTATTTCTATATATACCTAAAATCTTAATTAAATTTTATTTTTAATTACTTTTATGTTTCTTTTCAAAAAAAATTACTTTTATGTTTGTGCATTAGTAGAGAATGTCATATTAAAGTTAATTATTTTAATTTTAATATAGTTACTTGAATTAGTAGATACTTAAATGACTTTTGTGTTTGTGCTTTGAAGTGTATTGAAGTCATTGATTGTGAAATTGAAATAGTTTGTGCATTAGTAGAGAATGTGACATAATGATAATGAAATCAAATTTTAAATGCTTTTTCATGTTAATTGTTTGACAAGACATAAGATTTCTTCAAAATAAATTGGAACATACATATCGTATATTGTTTGTTTGATGCTAAATGATCTGAATTGTAATTTGGAAATGACATATATCGACCAACCTAAATACCTGTTTAAAATTTACTCATTACAAGTAAATTTTAGATAGCAACCAGTTTAGGACTGTTCTTGAACAGCTTACGTCCCTAAGGCGGTGAATGCAATTCTTTTTCTTGGTTCCATCACTTTTTTGCCTAGCATTTCCCAAATGCATTCTACGGGTGCATATGTAACTACATTACATCGTGCACTCGGAGAACCTGTTGGGAAATGCTCCCAAAAATTTTTTGGATCAAAGAAAATGAAATGCATTCACTGGTGATGATAGAGTTTTTTGCCTAGCATTTCCCAAATGCATTCTACGGGTGCATATGTAACTACATTACATCGTGCACTCGGAGAACCTGTTGGGAAATGCTCCCAAAATTTTTTTGGATCAAAGAAAATGAAATGCATTCACTGGTGATGATAGAGTTTCAAGAATAGGCTATGATGGAGTAAAGAAGCACTATATAGAATGGGAAAATGCTGCCAAATTTTCGTTGCATCGATCATAAGTAATGAAATATTAAGTTGCCTGTGTTTGTTATATTTATGTACATATATCAAATGGGTCTTAATTATTCTCTTTACATTATTTTTCACCCAAGCCTTTTATATGTTCATCTTTTAGCTAGAAATACATATGATGGATTGAAATTAGAGTGATATGCCACGAACATCAGCTGAGTTTTGTGCGTATTTGGAGGAGTTTATTCTGTTCATAAGAAAATATTGATGAAAAGTACAAAAGATATAATGTCCTTGTAACTCGTGTCATAACCATTTTATAGTTAATATCATTAAGGATATAAGTGTCCATGTGTATCGCAAGGTTTCAACCCAACATACAAGCGATGGGGACATGGAGAGCTGGAGAATGTTGGTAGCTCATCAATTCATCCTATAAGGAACAAGTAGAAGTCGATAGTTTGCCTAAGTGCCCAACAAACTTAATAAAGACATGAAACTCTTGTCTCTCCACCTATTTGCCACTTTTAGAATGAACAATGCCAACGCTCCTTTCAAACGTATGTACTTAGCACAACGAGGATATAACACCTTCTTTGAGTTATCAAGTAAACTCTCATACATATTACGCTTTTCATCGACGGCATCTTGTCAATCACGACGAACACCTTGAGTAAACTCTAATTCTTCTTCCATTTTGACTTCCAAACCTTCAATATCGTCAATATCGACTTATACTTGTTCCAGTTCTCCATGTCATATCCATCGCTTGTATGTTGGGTCAAAACTTTAGCAATACACATGAACTCTTACATCCTTAATGATATCAATCATAAAATGGTTATGACATGAGTTACAAGGACATGATATCTTCTCCTTCTTTTGAATGTTTCCTTATGAAGCGAATAGACTTCTCCAAACACGTACCCAACTCAGCCAAGGTCTATGGCATATCAATCCAAGCTAAGAATATGAGGGAGTTCATGCGATGAGAGAAGGTTGATCAGACCATCGTGATTGTCTTCGTGACGCATGACATGAAATTACATACTTAATTAAAGACGAAAAATTATTCATATTTTCTCATTAATTATCAAAAATGCAATTGTGAATTTACTTGTCAACTATAAAGACTATTGCACTGATACATGACGGAGGACGACATCAGGAATGTCAAGTTGTTATGTTTGAAGAACGTGCGGTACATGATAGTTCAGGAGATCGTAGCTATTTGGATAGATCATTCCATGAGTACAAATCACGATCTTGGATGCTTTTGTCATTGTATCTTTCGAGCTTGTATGTGATTTAAACCAATTTAAATGAGTACTCAACTTTTACGTATTAGTTGTAATACACTTGTTTGAAAACATGTATTTCTTTAACTCAATATTCAAGAACAAGAGATAATAGTATGAAAGTGAAGATTTTCATAAACGAGTAAGTATATATGAATTATATTAGTAATATTGAACGAAGATATTGTTCTCACGAATTATTTCTACAATGCTTCATCTTTTTAAATTTGAAGGGCTTGGCAGATACTTAGAGAAAGGAAATGTCTAAGCTTAATGCAAAATCGAAGAGGGTTGAGACATAGTATGAAATAAATTAAAAGTTTTATTAAAGAATGTTGGTAGATTAATACTGTGTAAAATACTCCCTCTGTCCAAATAAATCCTTCTCCTTTTCTTTATTTACTTGTCTCACAAAGTTTTTCTCATTTCTATTACTAATTACTTTTATCCTTACTAGTTCTTAACTTACCTATCACATCATACATTTTTTCTAATAATCTATACATCACATTCTACTTTTACCCATCACATCAAGGGAGTCAACACAAAAATATCTCTTCCTTAAATTATTTAAATGTGAAAATAAAAACATCTTTTTGGGACAGAGAAAGTATAATGATAAAGAGATACGAAGTATTCCTTCCGTCCAACAATAAAGTTCTCATTCACTATTCACAGGGTCAAACTTTATTCACTTTGTTGGCCTATTTTTGTGTCTTATTTGATAAAATAATATAGTCATGTCACCTCTAGTTTTGTAGATCTTTTCATGTAGTTTTTAAATATATAATTTTTATTTTTTAATTTCATACCATTTTTCATATAAAATGATTTGAAAATAATTTCAGTCAAACATCGTAACGTGCAATGAGAACTTTATTTGTGGACGGAGGGAGTATAATATACATTGTATGGTTGGAGAAGTTAAAAAGTACTACGTAGATACCTAAAATACTATTCTCTCCGTTCTTTAACTTCGTTCCCATTTTCTTTTTTGGGCAAGGTTTCCATGACACTGCCCGGCAATGTCATGGGAATCTTAGTGTTCTTTTTTTTGGTATCCAAATATTTCTTTTTCGTTTCTTATTTTGGCAAAATCTTTTTAATTAATGTACCATTACATTCCACTTTTCATTTATACTATTCACTTTATTGCATTACGAAAAATATAGAAAGTTTTTGTACTTTTTAATTTTTTTAATCTCCCTGTAAAATCAAAACTAGAAAGAAGAGGAAGTATTCATTTGTTAAAATTCTCGAGATGCTCTTAAGCCTTGTTTGGTAGCTAAAATCATTTTTATTTTGTCCATCAGCATAATAAATAAAATGAACGGAGATTTAATAAAATGGCGATGGGTTATCTGACCTTAGAGCCCAGGGGGAAGTTTCCTTCCGCCGGCCAGGAGCCAGATGATATGTATGGTGATTAAGATATTTAATTAATTATTAGTATTTATAATTAAATATTATTTAATTAGTAGGGTTTAGGGTTTAGTATGAGCCCGAGCCCATTAGGTCAATTAGCGTATCGTATTACTCTCTATATATTGTAATCCTTCCGCGTTTATGCAATCAATCAATAATCAAGAATTCTATCAATCTCTCGTCTCTCTGTTCTTGGAGCTCGGAAACGCTCGAAGTTTTCCTTCTCTCTTTGCCTCCCCTTTCTTGGAGCCTGAAGAACGCTCGAAGTTCTTCCCTATCCAGTACGATATTCGTATCAATTGGTGCTCTCATTGATTTGAACACCTCACAAAAAATAAAAAAAAAACACAATCGACGAAGCATTGAGCTGCGCCGCCGTAAAAGTTGTTTCAACTAATCAAAAGGAATTAGCCACTTCGCCACAAACCAATAGTTGCCGCTGGAATTTTATTGGAAGTTGCCACTGGAATTTTAATAGTTGCAACTTGTAGTTGCCGCTGGAATTTTGTGGGGATCTAAAGGTTGGTTTTGTTTTGCTACTGCAATATTTTTATAGTTGTTGTATCACTGGATTTGAAGGCAAAGGTTAATTGGAAGTTCATATGCGCCATATATTTTTTTAAGAATCACTATGACGCAAGCTTCTACACGTACTTCTGATATGGGCATGGCGAAGATGATTTGTGCATTGGACAAACTTTTTAGTTTGTTAGAAAAAGTTCTTTATGGAGAAATTGAGCATGATGAAGGAGTGTGTATGATTTTTGATCACGTGTATGAGATCAGTATGAAGCTCAGATCGATCCCTACTTTTGAAGGTCAAATTGATTATGGTGCGCTTGACGTGGAATTTTTTTGCTCGGTACAAGATTTGGTCCGTGGACCTCCAGTTGTGTCAAGTCAAATCCCTTTCGAGTTACAAATTTTCAGAACACATATTATGGGTTTGCTAAGGAAACTGCCAGGCACTCCACTTCCTCCACCAGTGTTGCCCCCAAGATGTAATGGAAGCAAACCCGTGCAGTGGTTAGCTACGGTATGTGAGTATTTCCAGTTTTATGAAGTCCCTTTAGTTGATCGTTTGAACCGTGTGACATCAATGTTAGAGGGCTCTGCCTTGGCTTGGTTTAATTGGCGTATGCATGGCGGCTTAATTGATGGTTGGGAGGATTTTGTTGAAAAGTTCAAGATTCGATTTGCTCCATTACATGGTTTGGAGTATATTTCTTTTGAGAAGACGTCAGAGAAGTCTAGAGACACATTTGCCCACATGGTGGAAAACACCAACACACCCCCCGCCCCGATTGTGGAGGACACAAATGAACTAAAGGAATCAAGCGAGGAATCTTTCATTACAGAGGACAATGATAGCGGGTCTGACGTCATTGACAATGATGGTGGTGTTATTGATGGAGATGATGGTGCTACTATTACAAGTGATAAGCTATCCTACAAGCCAGATTCTACACCTCATGAATTACATGTGCCACTAAATGCCCTAATGGGGGTAGAAATTGCAAAGTATGACGTTCTAGAATGTGTTGACAAGGTGGCTAGTGAAAATTGTAACCAAGCGGCCCAGTTAATTTCT